CCCCCCCCCCCCCCCCCCCCCCCCCCCCCCGCCGGGGGGGGGGGGGGGGGGGGGCGGCCCCAATGAGAATTGCCCTGGGTGGCCAACTCTGTCCCTCTTCCCCTGAGGGTGGTTGGCCCACAGGACGATGAGGGCAATGAGCAGATGCAGTGTTGGCCTTCGCCATGAGTGATCTCTATAACTGGAAAAAGCAAAGACCCCGTTTCTCAGACAATCTTTTAGGTTCTGTTATGTTCACTTGGGAGGATTGCAGTCAGCTGGTACAGCTCCTGTTAACCACGGAAGAAAGAGAATTCTGACAGAGGCCCAAAAATTGGTCCCAGGATCTGATGGAAACCCAACTGTCAATTCTGTGCCAATAGACCAAGGCTTCCCCCTGACCTGCCCTAACAGAAGGTAAGGAGAGGCTCCAGCTCTACTGCCAGGTTCTAATGGGAGGTCTCCATGTGACCCACCAATCTGGCCAAAGTCAGTAATGTGTACTACAAGAAAACACAGAATCTCCATCAGCCTTCTTAGAACGGATTATGGAGGCCTTTAGGGTATACTCCCCTATGAATTCTGAGGCCGAGGAGAATAGGTCATCTGTGGTCCTGGCCTTTGTTAATGTCCATGCCTGACATTAGGTTCAAGTCACAGAAGATAGTTGGCTTGCAGATAAGAGCGTCCAGGAGCTGTGAGCAGGAGCTCAGAAAGTGTACAACAGAGAAACCCCAGAGGATAAACAGATGAGGGTCATTGCTGCAGAGAATGCAGAGTAGCCTGGAAATACGGCAAGAATCCCAGCAGCCACCGCAGGAGATGCAACTGAGACGCCTAGCCAGAGGCTAAGGTAAGGACCTGAAGGGAGCACCCTAGGTTGCAAAAAGATCTGTGCGCTTATTGCAGGGGAATGGAACATTGGGCTAAAGAATGCCCCCGGGAGTCCAAACATAAGGACTATGACTCGGGATGTGACTCCTGCCACAGGGTTTGAGTCCCCTCCCTGAGCCCAGGGTGATTCTCAGAGGGAATTTAGAGGGAAAAACCTACAAATTTAGTAGTAGTAGAACTGGAACTCAACATTTGATCTAAACCAAGCACCAAGGGAACCTCTCTCAAAGAAAAGTCTTGGGTGCAGGGAGCCACAGGTATGAGTCAATATTCATGGACTACCCGAAGAACGGGATCTCGGAATGGGTCGGGTATTCCCTATTCCTTCCTGGTCATACCCAACTGCCCCTACTCCTTATTACGAATATACCAACCATTGGATAAGATTTAAGATGTCATTGAACCCAGAATGTACCTATTCCCTTACACACACACACACACCCTAGACAAATGTCAGCCAATCAGGGTCTTGAATTCTGAAAACCCCCTTACCCCCAACTTCTATGATAAAACCCTACCCTGCCTCTGCTGGGTGTGCTCTGTTTGTACTGCTGCATCAGACACACAGCCCAAACCTGATCTTGAATAAAGGCTGTTTGCTTTTGTGTACAGATTTGGACTCCTTGGTGATCTTTGGGGAACCTGTGGTTTGGGTATGATTCTCATCCCATCTCAGTTCCCTGAATTGTTCAAGTCAACACCCCATTCTCTGGCCCAAACTCACCGAGCCCGTGTGTCAGAATCTCTCACTTATTGCTGAGTCCAAAGAGCAAGATCTCTCCTGGCCCTGCCATTCCACCTGGGCCATAATTTGCCTTATCTGAAGATGGGTGGGGCACCTGTCGTCATCCAGCTTTCCAGGAAGTAATGCTTTTGGGGACTTTCAGACGCCTCCATTAGCACTCCTCCAGCCGGGAGCCGCAGGGAGATCTGACAGGATTCTGACTCGCCATCTCAGGTAAGAAGCTGGAGATGGTGCATCTGAGCCGGCTGTGGCTCTGGGCACTGTCCACACACCTAGAATCCCTAGACTGGAAAAGAGTTGAGAGCAGACTATTATAAAATAGGACAGACAAAGGGCAGTGGGGGGTTAGGTGCCTAGGCCAGACATTAGGAACTTAAGAGGTCACAAGGGGTAGGATACAGTGGTAGTGGAGACCCAGGAAGCTTTTGCTTCTTTCAGGGGCTGACTTAGCACCCTGAAATTGGGAAAGGGTTGGTAGGGAGACCCAGGGATCCCAACTGGAGCCAAGGGAAGAAATAGCTATTAGGACTGGTGTCCAGAGGTCTGGCACTCAACAATGGTTGGAGTCTTCTCAACCCTCCTGCTTTTGGGACAGCAACCTTGCTCTGAGAAATGCAGAAACTGGGGTTCACTTTCCTGTGTGGGGCAACCCCACCCCATTTGCCTCAGTATGTTCTATGAAGGCCTGAGGGAGATTTGCGGTCTGTGTGTCAACGATTGCCTCACTTTCAATACACAGGGAAGATTAGCTATTCCAGTTCCTAGTTGTCTAGAACTGTGCGCTCTTGCTTGACCCCAGGCTGTGAAAGGCAGTAGATTAGAAATCAAGAGTCAGGGACTGGAGAGGTGGTTCACTGGCTGCTCTTCCAAAGGATCTGGTTCATTGTCCAACACCCATATGATGGCTCATGACCATCTGTAACTCCAGTTCTGGGAGATCAGACATCTTCTTCTGACTTCCATGGGCACCAGGCATATAGGTGCATACATGTACATGCAGGTAAAACACTCATATACATTAAATAATAAATCTAAAAAAGAAAATCCAAAGTCAGATGTGGTGACCCACCTGTAATCCCAGCTTTTGGGAGGTGGAGACAGGAGTTCCGGAACATCCTTCACTATAAAGCAGATTTGAGGTCAGTCTAAGCCAGACATGACTGTCTTAAAGCAAAATAACAAAAAGCCCTTTCTGACCCAATACTTCTCTCACCGTTGGTCCAGGCGTAATGTCTGTGTTTGAAAGTGTCACAAGATCCCTGGTCCAGGAGTTGGATTCAGGAGGGGATATGATTCCTGTCAAAAGTATGGTTGACGCTGGTGCATTCAAATGCTGTTATTTGGTGAGAGGACGGAAGAGGTTCTGGGGATGGGCCTACTACAAGACAGACCTCACCCTGGAGGACATACTGGACGAGAAGGACGAAGGACTATTTGGTAGTCTGCTTGCAGGATTCAGAGGTCAGTATGTGGCAGGTGAGAAATGGCCAGCTTGAGACCTTGCCTGCTTCTATTCTACCCCGTGCTCAGCTCCTCGTTGCCCTCAGCGAGCTGATTTGTGCATGCTGGCACACCTCCAAGAAGGCACACACAGAAGGGCTGGTGAGCAAGAGGAGTGAAATAGAGATTTTTGTTTTGGCTTGGTTTTTCTTTTTTTTTAAAAAATATTTATTTATTATGTATACAATATTCTGTCTGTGTGTATATGCCTGCAGGCCAGAAGAGGGCACCAGACCCCATTACAGATGGTTGTGAGCCACCATGTGGTTGCTGGGAATTGAACTCAGGACCTTTGGAAGAGCAGGCAATGCTCTTAACCTCTGAGCCATCTCTCCAGCCCCTGGCTTGGTTTATCAAGACACTGTTTTTCTGTGTAGCTCTGTCTGTCCTAGAACTCACTCTGTAGACCAGGCTGGCCTCAATCTCAGATCCGCCTGCGTCTGCCTCCCGAGTGCTGGGATTAAAGGCATAGCCTCCACCATCTGGTGAGATTTCTTTATATTGGAAGTCATTTCTACATAGTCTCTCTTTCCTATGTCTCTCCACAATTCTAATTCCTGAGCGCTGTGAGTTTATATTTTTATAATTAAACTGATGGGTAAATGGAGGAAGATGATGTGATAGTCTGGACAGACACAGACTTCACTGCTGAGGTTGCCCGGTTTTGAAGGCCACTCTGCTGTTGACCGGCGGGGTGACGTCTGGACAAGCTGCTTTTTATCTGTGTAGGTTTCAGTGTCTTCACCTGTGAACTCTAGATGACTAAGGGTAAATGGCCGTGCCGGCCACAGGAGGTGCACACAGACTCTCCCTCCGGGAGCTCTGCTGCTGGACAGGACCCCCTCTTCCCTGGGCGTGGGCTGAAAGACAAGTTGAACTGAAATTTAGAAGGCATCAGTTCTCAGCTGTGGGTCGTGACCCCTTTCTTGGTTATAACGACCCTTTCACAGGGGCTGCATATCAGATATCCTGCGTATCAGATAGTTACATTAAGATTTATCGCTAAAAAGTACAGTTGTCACGTAGCAACAAAATAATGTTATGGTTGGAGGTCACCACAACATGACAAACTGTATTAAAGGGTTGCAACATCAGGAAGGTTGAAAAACCATAGCTCTAAGGGTTCTTATTATCTATCTATCTATCTATCTATCTATCTATCTATCTATCTATCTATCTATCTACCTACCTACCTACCTACCTACCTACCTACCTACCTACCTACCTACCTATTTATTTATTGTTAGTGGCTAAAGAGAAGCTGTGGGTGCTGGGAACTGAACTCTTATATTTTTAGCTGTGAGCCTCACCTTTTATGACTGAGTCATTTCTCCAGCCCATCTAAGGGTTTTATAGGAGGGTTTTACAATGCTGTTTCCCTGCCTCAAAGTGCAGATATTCCTGGGGATTCTTCTTTTTGTTTCCGCCAACCCTGGAATCCATTTTAGTGTCTTATCCTGAATTCAGAAAATCTACCATATTTTAGATGAACAAATATTTCAATATGAAACTAAAGTTGTGTGGTCCAGACCCCTCTGCTGTAGTCTGTCTTTGTCTCTCTGCCCTCTCATGTTGTAGGACGCCTGCTTTCGTTTGGTGGTTTTCCATGTTTTTCTCTGTGGTTCAGCCATGGCTGTGGGTTTGGGTAGTCAAGTGCTCTGCACATCCATGAAGGGTGTGTGTGCTCTCTGCTTGCCTTCCCACTGCTGATCACCCGACCAAGGGGGTTTTGTTGCATTTCTCTGTGAAGTTTATATTGCCTTCCCACACTGCACTCCTTGTTTTCATCTTTGTCTTTTCTGTCTATCGAGGCGTCTTGTTTGTGTGCCTATTTTACAGATCCGGGAAGAGACGCCCAGCATTTTCCCTCCTCTGTGTTTTCAGTTTGCTCCTTTTTGCTCCCTGATGTCAGCCTAGGTGGCCACACATCGAGACCGGTGGGATGAGAAAGGAAGAGCCTTCTAGTCTCTGAGCCACACGTCTAGTCTGGTCTGATGACCTCACACAGTTTAACCTGCCAGTGAAATTCATGACACTTTCCCCAGTTCAGTGATGATCAGAATCAAGTTCGCCAGTATCACCCCACTTCATTGTCATAGTTAGACTGGACAGTGACTTTGGCATGGTCCTGAGAAGGACCTCTTTTCAGTATTAGCACCATTGAGGGCATCAGCTAGGACACTTGTATACACCATCAAGACGGCTTAGAAAGAGGGCAAATGTGGAATTCATTTTTCTTTTTCTTTTTCCTAACAGAGTACATATCAAACTTATACTGCTTGAGAAATGAACAGGCCCTGAGACATTGGTGCCCTATGGGTTGATTTTTTTGTTTTGTTTTGTTTTGTTTTGTTTTTCAAGATAGGGTATCTCTGGCAGCTTTGGGGCCTGTCCAGGCACTTGCTCTGCAGACCACGCTGGTCTCGAACTCACAGAGATCTGCCTGCCTCTGCCTCCCAAGTGCTGGGATTAAAGGCATGTGTCACTACTGCCTGGCCCCATGGATTGATTTTAAGTAGTTTCTAATTTGGTCATTTTCTATTTCAAATGCATTTTCCTCTGGAAATCCAGCTGGGACTCTCACCCGGCAGCAGGAGCAGTCCCTTCTTTGCAGGTCTGTACTTGGGAGGTCTAAGAGGAAGACCTGCATCCCCTACATCCTCCTCAAACCATGAGCAGCAGCAGAATCAGCCTACCCAGCGCTGGGCCTCTGATGAATGCTACATCAGACGCCTGGAGTCTATGCAGATGGGCAGCTTCCCCTGGCCACCTCACGCTACCCCTGCACCAGCTTCCCTGGCCACCTCACTCCACCCCCGCACCAGCTTCCCATGACCACCTCACTCCACCCCTACACCAGCTTCCTTGGCCAGCTCACTCTACCTCTGCACCTTCATGCAGACACCAAGCTGCTTGCATTTTATTTTCTATTTATTCTTTCCTTGCCTCATTTCAGAATCCCAGTAGCGTTAGCTTGTATCTGTTGAACCCTGTACTGTGTGCCAGGCACTGTCTTAAGTCCTTTCCTGAATACTTGGTGTCCCCAAGCATGGGAAGGACTTAGTTAAGATTCTCTCTCTAAGTCGGGCGGTGCACGTGTTTAATCCCAGCACTCGGGAGGCAGAGGCGGGCAGATCTTTGTGAGTTCGAGGCCAGCCTGGTCTACAAGGGCTAGTTCCAGGACAGGCACCAAAGCTACAGAGAAACCCTGTCTCGAAAAACCAAAAAAAAAAAAAAAAAAAAAAGATTCTCTCTCTAGAGAGAGGCCAGATGACTTAACAGGTTACCTGGGAAGAAGGGTGCAGAGCAGGCTGATGCCATGGACGGTGGCCTGTAATGTTGGGGACAGCAGCCTTTCTTGGAGAGCCCTTGTGGCAGGCTTCACGGAGGAAGGGGCAGTGCTAGCAAGGGCTTTCTGGAGAAGTGTCTTTTAGGTTAGCATCAATGTGATATTTACTCTTGTCTTTCCAGGTGAAAAGGCTAAATTCCAAGTCCAGGATAAAACAGATTCAAAGCTGTCAGCAAAATTGTCGTCAGCAGAATTGTCAGCAAAACTGTCAGCAATATTGCCAGCAAAATTCCCTGAAGAAATACTTGCCATTGAAAGACTCCGGTCCTGTGATTGGAAAACCACCATAATACATAGGAAGATAACCCAGAGATGTTTGGATTTCCTTGACAACAAGTAAGGCGGGGACTGAAGAGATGGTTCAGTGGTCATGAGCACTTGCTGCTCATACAAAGGACTTGGTATTGGTTCCCAGCACTCACATGGGGGCTCCCAACCATCTGTAACTCCAGTGCCAGGGGATCTGATGCCCTCTCTGACCCCCGTCTCTTGCACATATATGGTACACGTACATACACGCAGGCACTTACACATAAATAGCTACTTTTTAAGATGGGGCTGGAGTCAGGCAGCGATGGGAATGGACAAGGGGAAGGATGCATTCTGGGCATGGAGTCATCTCAGGGGCACCCTGGCTGTTCACCCTCAGGCCCACTCCTGCGCAGGCAGCCTCCTGTCCCTCACAGCCTGCCATCTTCTCAGTGGCCGATGGCTGTGTGTCAGATCCAACAGAAACCCAGGCCGAAAGACTAACTGTGGTGCTTATTAGCTTTCCAGAGCGGACGCTGGCCCTCAGGCTCACTCAGTGCGGTGGCTCTTCTCAGCTCTTCACGTCTGCCCCTGTCCCACCCTCAGCTTCTCCAGCCCGTGGGCTTTGCTTCTTCTCTTCCCCCAGCTTCTCATTGCTATATAATCCCGCCATTTTGGCCGTGTGCTCTTTTGGTTAGCTTTCTCTCTCTTCCCTTCTCTCTCTCTCCCCTTCTCTCCCCCAGTGCCTGCTCCCCTCCAATCACATCGCCTAGTTCAGTCTGCTGGTTACATTTAGTCTACTATTTTCTCTCCCTGTTCTGGACACTTCTAGATGCTTCTGGCTGCGCTCTCACTCACGTCTACAATGAAGACCTCCAACCTTACCTTGGAGTGGTCATGCCCTCTTTTCACGGACTGTGGTATGGACACATCAGCTGCTGTCCTGAGACTGCTCTCCTTGCTCCGAATGACTCAAGCCATCATTTGCGCTTGTTTTGCTCTGCCTTGTAAACCTTGTTTCTGTATCTTCATCCCGGTGGCCCGGCGGGGTAGGAACAACTTGTGACCAATTACTGGCTGTACTCAGCTCTCTGTTGACTCCACACAGTAGGTGGTCTGCAATGAGGTACAATGAAGCTAAAAGAACCAAGTTGGAAACTCCAGCACTCAGGGGAAGGCACCTCACTGGTTTTGAGGGCTAGTTTGTATTTTCTGCCTGCCTCCCTCCCTCCTTCCCTTCCTTTCATTCTCTGTCTCTTTTTCTGTCTGTCTCTCTCTCTCCCACCCTCCCTCCTTTCCTTTCTT